TTCTATCTCCGGCCAAAGAGACTTTGAGTCGTTCAGCGGCTCTGCCTCAAACCGCTGAACTGAAGGATGAGCCATACATGGTCCGCCATGTTTCCTGCTTTACATTGACGGAAGTCGGACCATATTATGTCAGTTGTCGGTCAAAGGAAGATTTTCTTCAATCGTTCCTCCCTAAAGCCAACTTGAGGAGCACCATTGGGTAAAAAACGTGCCTTTGTGAGTAATTCAACATGGTTGAACTTTCCGGATAAGTTTCATTCCTTATCTGAAACTCATTCCACACCTTCTGACCAGCAGGGGGCAGCAGTCTTCTTTCAGACTCAGGTAGTCAGTGGTTCATGCATTCCTATGCATTTCTGGCATTTTGAGTTTTCTTACACAAAACACCATTTCCCACATTGCACTTCTCCTCTGCGACCATTCTGAAAGCTTAACGCCAATCAGATGTGATCTAGTTTTCTGTCTCCGGCCAAAGAGACTTTGAGTCGTTCAGCGGCTCTGCCTCAAACCCCTGAACTGAAGGATGAGCCATACATGGTCCGCCATGTTTCCTTTACATTGACGGAAGTCGGACCATATTATGTTAGTTGTCGGTCAAAGGAAGATTTTCTTCAATCGTTCCTCCCTAAAGCCAACTTGAGGAGCACCATTGGGTAAAAAACGTGCCTTTGTGAGTAATTCAACATGGTTGAACTTTCCAGATAAGTTTCATTCCTTCTCTGAAGCTCATTCCACACCTTCTGACCAGCAGGGGGCAGCAGTCTTCTTTCAGACTCAGGTAGTCAGTGGTTCATGCATTCCTATGCATTTCTGGCATTTTGAGTTTTCTTACACAAAACACCATTTCCCACAATGCACTTCTCCTCTGCGACCATTCTGAAAGCTTAACGCCAATCAGACGTGATCTAGTTTTCTATCTCCGGCCAAAGAGACTTTGAGTCGTTCAGCGGCTCTGCCTCAAACCGCTGAACTGAAGGATGAGCCATACATGGTCCGCCATGTTTCCTGCTTTACATTGACGGAAGTCGGACCATATTATGTTAGTTGTCGGTCAAAGGAAGATTTTCTTCAATCGTTCCTCCCTAAAGCCAACTTGAGGAGCACCATTGGGTAAAAAACGTGCCTTTGTGAGTAATTCAACATGGTTGAACTTTCCGGATAAGTTTCATTCCTTATCTGAAACTCATTCCACACCTTCTGACCAGCAGGGGGCAGCAGTCTTCTTTCAGACTCAGGTAGTCAGTGGTTCATGCATTCCTATGCATTTCTGGCATTTTGAGTTTTCTTACACAAAACACCATTTCCCACAATGCACTTCTCCTCTGTGACCAGTCTAAAATCTTAACGCCAATCAGATATGATCTAGTTTTCTGTCTCCGGCCAAAGAGACTTTGAGTCGTTCAGCGGCTCTGCCTCAAACCGATGAACTGAAGGATGAGCCATACATGGTCCGCCATGTTTCCTGCTTTACATTGACGGAAGTCGGACCATATTATGTTAGTTGTCGGTCAAAGAAAGATTTTCTTCAATTGTTCCTCCCTAAAGCCAACTTGAGGAGCACCATTGGGTAAAAAACGTGCCTTTGTGAGTAATTCAACATGGTTGAACTTTCCGGATAAGTTTCATTCCTTATCTGAAACTCATTCCACCTTCTGACCAGCAGGGGGCAGTCTTCTTTCAGACTCAGGTAGTCAGTGGTTCATGCATTCCTATGCATTTCTGGCATTTTGAGTTTTCTTACACAAAACACCATTTCCCACATTGCACTTCTCCTCTGCGACCATTCTGAAAGCTTAACGCCAATCAGATGTGATCTAGTTTTCTGTCTCCGGCCAAAGAGACTTTGAGTCGTTCAGCGGGCTGCCTCAAACCCCTGAACTGAAGGATGAGCCATACATGGTCCGCCATGTTTCCTGCTTTACATTGACGGAAGTCGGACCATATTATGTTAGTTGTCGGTCAAAGGAAGATTTTCTTCAATCGTTCCTCCCTAAAGCCAACTTGAGGAGCACCATTGGGTAAAAAACGTGCCTTTGTGAGTAATTCAACATGGTTGAACTTTCCAGATAAGTTTCATTCCTTCTCTGAAGCTCATTCCACACCTTCTGACCAGCAGGGGGCAGCAGTCTTCTTTCAGACTCAGGTAGTCAGTGGTTCATGCATTCCTATGCATTTCTGGCATTTTGAGTTTTCTTACACAAAACACCATTTCCCACAATGCACTTCTCCTCTGCGACCATTCTGAAAGCTTAACGCCAATCAGACGTGATCTAGTTTTCTATCTCCGGCCAAAGAGACTTTGAGTCGTTCAGCGGCTCTGCCTCAAACCGCTGAACTGAAGGATGAGCCATACATGGTCCGCCATGTTTCCTGCTTTACATTGACGGAAGTCGGACCATATTATGTCAGTTGTCGGTCAAAGGAAGATTTTCTTCAATCGTTCCTCCCTAAAGCCAACTTGAGGAGCACCATTGGGTAAAAAACGTGCCTTTGTGAGTAATTCAACATGGTTGAACTTTCCGGATAATTTTCATTCCTTATCTGAAACTCATTCCACACCTTCTGACCAGCAGGGGGCAGCAGTCTTCTTTCAGACTCAGGTAGTCAGTGGTTCATGCATTCCTATGCATTTCTGGCATTTTGAGTTTTCTTACACAAAACACCATTTCCCACAATGCACTTCTCCTCTGTGACCAGTCTAAAATCTTAACGCCAATCAGATATGATCTAGTTTTCTGTCTCCGGCCAAAGAGACTTTGAGTCGTTCAGCGGCTCTGCCTCAAACCGATGAACTGAAGGATGAGCCATACATGGTCCGCCATGTTTCCTGCTTTACATTGACGGAAGTCGGACCATATTATGTTAGTTGTCGGTCAAAGGAAGATTTTCTTCAATCGTTCCTCCCTAAAGCCAACTTGAGGAGCACCATTGGGTATAAAACGTGCCTTTGTGAGTAATTCAACATGGTTGAACTTTCCAGATAAGTTTCATTCCTTCTCTGAAACTCATTCCACACCTTCTGACCAGCAGGGGGCAGCAGTCTTCTTTCAGACTCAGGTGGTCAGTGGTTCATGCATTCCTATGCATTTCTGGCATTTTGAGTTTTCTTACACAAAACACCATTTCCCACAAAGCACTTCTCCTCTGCGACCATTCTGAAGCTTAACGCCTATCAGACGTGATCTAGTTTTCTGTCTCTGGCCAAAGAGACTTTGAGTCGTTCAGCTGCTCTGCCTCAAACCGATGAACTAAAGGATGAGCCATACATGGTCCGCCATGTTTCCTGCTTTACATTGACGGAAGTCGGACCATATTATGTTAGTTGTCGGTCAAAGGAAGATTTTCTTCAATCGTTCCTCCCTAAAGCCAACTTGAGGAGCACCATTGGGTAAAAAACGTGCCTTTGTGAGTAATTCAACATGGTTGAACTTTCCGGATAAGTTTCATTCCTTCTCTGAAACTCATTCCACACCTTCTGACCAGCAGGGGGCAGCAGTCTTCTTTCAGACTCAGGTGGTCAGTGGTTCATGCATTCCTATGCATTTCTGGCATTTTGAGTTTTCTTACACAAAACACCATTTCCCACAATGCCTTCTCCTCTGTGACCAGTCTAAAATCTTAACCCCAATTAGACATGATCTAGTTTTCTGTCTCCGGCCAAAGAGACTTTTTAGTCGTTCAGCGGCTCTGCCTCAAACCGCTGAACTGAAGGATGAGCCATACATGGTCCGCCATGTTTCCTGCTTTACATTGACGGAAGTCGGACCATATTATGTTAGTTGTCGGTCAAAGAAAGATTTTCTTCAATTGTTCCTCCCTAAAGCCAACTTGAGGAGCACCATTGGGTAAAAAACGTGCCTTTGTGAGTAATTCAACATGGTTGAACTTTCCAGATAAGTTTCATTCCTTCTCTGAAACTCATTCCACACCTTCTGACCAGCAGGGGGCAGCAGTCTTCTTTCAGACTCAGGTAGTCAGTGGTTCATGCATTCCTATGCATTTCTGGCGTTTGAGTTTTCTTACACAAAACACCATTTCCCACAATGCACTTCTCTTCTGCGACCATTCTGAAAGCTTAACGCCAATCAGACGTGATCTAGTTTTCTATCTCCGGCCAAAGAGACTTTGAGTCGTTCAGCGGCTCTGCCTCAATCCGCTGAACTGAAGGATGAGCCATACATGGTCCGCCATGTTTCCTGCTTTACAGCCATGGAAACCGGTTAATACCTTTCCTCCGTGGAGGTAGCTTATTCAAGGATTCAGTTTGTTGCTTATTGACACTTTGTTGATTGACGTCTCTCAAAATTAGACGAATCACATCACAGTTAAACATCAGTAACATCTGACCTTGTTCCATGCATAGCATTTTTGTAAACAAGCTTATTTAAAATAAGACCTCAGTCTACATTCCTACATCCGAGCCGTCGAGGTAGCTAGTTCAGGGATTTGGTGTCTGGCTCAACGACACCACAACCTGTGACATGGCCGTAAATCGTCCCACCAACCTTTTGGCCAAAGGAAGATCGACGGTCGGCCATGTTTATGCGCTACTTCTATGAGGTAGAAACTGTTTTCTCAGTGTAATATTTCCCTCCCGTGATTCCACTGATAGCAGCACCGTTTCTGTAGCGCTGTCGGCAAAGTGCAAAGTGCAAAGTGCATTTGTAATGAACCAAAATATTTCCAGAACAAGTTCTGCTCATTCTGCAGAACTCAGTTTCTGGAAACCAGAGCTGGAGCTCCAAGTCCAATAGGGACTGAAGACGGGGCAATCTTTGGGGATGTCATAAGGTCATAAGGTCATAAGGCCTCCTCTAACACAAAATCGAGTCATGATAAAAAAAAGAAAAATATTGGGAGTGATTTTGATTGTGGATTTTTGGTGAATCTATGTCCTGGAGTTTGATGAGCTGAACCTGAAACCTGAACCAGCAGCAGAGTGGAGGGCGAGTCGTCCTGCTGCCAGCAGGAACAAACCCAAACCAACATAAAGTCCAAACCTCCCGCGATCCACCAGCTCTTGGGTTTCCTCCTGAGTCTGAGGAATGGAAGCTGCAAAGAAAGAATCAAGAATAAATCAGTAGCTGCATCTCCATTGATGTTAAAACTCTGTAAAATGAAATTATGAAAGAAAATTTGCTTCATGGAAACAACCCGATTTTGGAAAAACGCATTTAAGAAGAAGAAGAAGAATTTTCTGTGTCTTAACATTTGACTCATTCATGTTTTTAATGACTTATTGCATGAATAAAATTATTCACATGTGATTTTAATTGTATTTCTTATTCAATGGAAACACTGTATCTGTAAAATATTTTCTTTTTTTTAATCTTTTTTCATTTATGAAATATCAAAGACAGTTTGTAATAAACATTTGTAATGAAAATGCAGCTTTTCAGACCCAAAAATAAAGTGGAAAACAAAAAAGACCAGAAAATAAAGATTAAACCATTTTTATCAGTAAAAACTCACCTCTGACTACAAGCTCCCAGTCTCTATGGTCTCTTCTTCCGTCAATGACGACGTAGCACCGGTACCGACCCGCATCGCTGAGCCTCACTTCAGCCAGGAGACACCGGATCCCTCCATTCCTGACCAGCTGGGGGTCACAGTGCAGTCGACCTTTGAACTCATCATCTGTGTACGTCTCATCTCTGCTGTCGAACCGATAAATCCTCCTCAGCGGCTCCATGCTCATCAGATCGACGTAGAGCCGGTCAGGCGGCGTGGCGTTCGGATCCGGACGGATCCATTTCAGCGTGACGTTGGAGTTCTCCTCGGCCTCGTAGACGTCCAGAGTTTCATTCACGGTGGGCAGAGATTTTCCTGCAGGAGTCAGAAAGAGACAGAAGCAAGAAATCACAACACAAATCCTCAGAAACACTTTGATGAAGTAGTTCTGATAATCTGATGCATCATCACCTCCAAATATCCAGGATTTGATGTTTCAGACGCTGACGGACGATTTAAAACATTTTCTCACGAAGCTTCAGGTAAAAGTTTATTTAACGGCTCAGATGAAAAGTTGTGATCAAAACACTGACAGGAAATAGATCCAGTGATATCAGATCTGCTAATTATTCCTAGAAACCTGAGACGTCCTTCATGCTCTGAGTTAAAGTTCAGTTTCAAACATTCAGTCATATTTTCTCACCCAGAGCAGCAGAACTCAGAATCAGAACCAGGAGAGACGAGGAGGTCCGGTTCAGCATTGATGCTCTGTTAGAAATAATAAAACACATTAATTATAGACATTATTTCTACAAGTTATCACATGCAGAGACCAAAACATTTTACTCCAATAGCAGTAGCACTACTTCAACATATTTATACTCCAGTCAGAATAAAATAATGTTTGGTAAAAAGTTACTGATCAAATTATCAATCATTTAATATTTAAAATTACATAATCAGACAAACCAAAACATAAAGATTTGAGCAATTTTTTTATATTTTATGGAGAAAAATGACAATAATTTAAATAACAACAAAATAACAAAATTAAGAATTTATTATTTTTTTCCAAATCAGTTTCTTTCCATAAAAAACTTATAAAACTTTAATAAAAACTGCAGGTCTGTGTTTAATTATTGGTTAAAACATGTTTGGTTTTTATTCAGTGGGTAGAAAATCCAGAAATTTGACTCAAGTTAGAAAAACTTTATAATAAAAAAACTGAAGTAAAAGTAAAAAGTAATGAAAACAACTAAAGGTACATTTGTTCTAAAAAGTTACTCAAGTTAATGTAACTGAGTAAATGTAACTAGTTACTATTGATCTCTGATCACGTGATAATTACAGAGGATCATCATTTCAATATGGCGTCCAGATGAAACACAAAATGGAGGAAAATAAAATGTTTCGCTTTGATCAGATCTGCAGACGCTTAATAAGTTTAAAGTTTAGTTTTAGTTTAAAACTCATGCAGAAAACAGAGAGAAGTTTTAATTATTATAAAACTGTTAAAAACATGTTTGATCAAAGTGAAACTAAACATCTTAGTTCACTGAGTGTTTCTCTAATGATCGCTGTTACAGAAACTGACGTTTTTCTGCAAACATGACGCAGAGAAAATATGAATTTATATCAAATATTTAATAACTAAAAGCTGAAATGACCTTTGAACCGAAACCTTCATGCAAAAAGCAGCGCAGTTATGAACAATAGGCCCGTATTACAAAAATCAACACATTCTGCTTTATTTAATCTGTCTAGTCAAAACCTCTACAGAGTTTATTCCGTTTGTTATTAATAGAAAAATATTTTATGCAACAAGAAAAGAGCGAAACAAACTGGAACAGAAACATGAAGAGTCGTGATAATATTGCTGCTGAAACTTTGTTCCAACTTTAACTAAACCTTCATTTAATGCGTGAATTTTAAAAACTCTTTAAATCTGAAAACATGCCTTTAGTTAATTTTAGTTGTATATATATATTATTATTGTGTATTTGTTTATTTAATATTGTATTTTTTGACTTTTTGCACGGGAGTTGCAATAGAAATTTCGTTGAATCCTGTTCAATGACAATAAATGCTATTCTATTCTATTCTCTATTCTATGAATTAAAACTGACCGTTTCAGATGAACCGAGTTGAAGATCAGAGAAAATCTTCCTGAACTTTCTGAGAAGATCAGCCCACCTTCTGACGTCATCATCATGCCTGTGTCTCTTAAAGGGGCAGACACACGTTCAGCCACCTGTTTATTCCACGGGATCAGTTTCTGTATTTTTGCTGGATTGTTTTTAATCATAACTAATTATTATACGTTGATTAAAAGAAACTTTCAGACAAAATGGGCAAATAAACCAACAGAATGTTTCTAACCTACAGAACCATCTGTCGCCACTAGGGGGCAGGATTAGTTTGACCTGGTAAAAAAATATGAATAAAGCTGATCTTAAATAAAATGCAGAACTTTATTAGATACAAAGCCAACATACTATCATAATAACTACTGATTACCTGTTGTAATCAGTAGTAAACACAACATGTAAAATATGTAAATACAACAGTAACAACAAAGACAAACTATTTTCCCAGTTTCATAAATTTGACCTGCAGCCCAAATAAAGAGCAGATTGACTCATAATTAGACATTAAAGTGGAAACAAGTAGTGAGAATTTCACTGAGGCTCATTAAATACACAAAAATGAAGAAAAACACATTTAATCAAAAACATGAACTTATGCAAAACTAAGTTTAAAGAAACAAGTTTGGACACTTTGAATAAATCACAGTTCCTTCATAAAACCTCAATATTTACGTTTATAACTTTTCTACAATCAATGATCCAACACACACTGATTATGAGATCAATAATGAAAAAACAAAACCACACAGGCCTTAAGTTACAAAATAACAAGCAGTGTTGTATAAAGTACTGAAATCTCCGAGTCAAGTAAAAGTATAGGTAGCTCTCTAAAATATGACGTTGGTAAAAGTAAAAGTCACTGATTGAAATGTTACTTGATTTAAAGTATTAAAGTATCTGAAATTTCTTGTACTTTAGTATGAAAATTACTGTAAAAATAGATGTAATCAAGTAATGTAATGAAAAGTACAAGTAAAAAGTAAAACAAGGCAAATGCAGTTTGAATGACATTTTTTAAATTTTGAAAAACTTGACAAATACATTTAAAATAATGTACGCAAGCAAGTGCAGGCAAAATGAAACCTGCTAATAGATGAACCTGCAGGCATCATTTAGTTAAGAACATTACTTTACCTAAACCACAAGGTTAATTTAACTCGCTTTAGGTTAACTTAACCTGCTTTAGGTTAACTTAACCTGCTTCATAACTGAACCAGCTTCTTAGTAAACCAGAAAGGACAGAAAGTACAAAGGTTTTTGTAAGCCTTAAGTTTTCCCTTTCAGTAAGATCAGTACAGAAAATGAGAAAAATAAATAGCACAGAAAATGCGGCCAACATGAAGAAAAAAAGCCGTTACGATTACTTCACAAACTATAGGTGCATCAACTGGTCATTATACAAAAGAAAAAAAGAATTGGGAGGGAAATGCAGCTTATTGGCATCTGAAGAGGGAGAGCTTTTTAGTAAACTTGGTGATTAATGGGAGAAGCGAAACATGTGCATCTATTGGTGGAGATGAACAAACTCAGGCAAATCGGCTACCGACTTTGTTGCAGTCGATCAGTAGGTTGGGTCTAAACATTTGTGTTTCTCTCTCTCACTTTTTGTAACGAGTAACTAAACAACACATTGAAAATCTAGCAGAGTAAAAAAAAGCAATTAAGTTCAGAAATATAGTGAAGTGAAAGTGAAAGTTATCAAAACTTTTCATACTTGAGGAAAGTAAGAATGCTACATACTTTAGTAAAGTAGTGAAGTATATTTACTTTGTTTCTATACAACACTGATAACGAGAATGTTTAAATAAATTAGAGCTCTAATTTACTATTTCCATAAAACATTAAATATGGCTTGTACTTTTAAGGCTTGTACTTTTAAGTCATTCATCCATTCATACTCATCCATTCATACACTGATGGTGACCAATACTGGATAACAGCCTCAGCTGCCCTGGAGCAATTTGGCAGCAGCTGCTGTGGGTCGATGCCACTGGCAGGTAAGGCAGGGGAAGTGCCTTGCTCAAAGGCACTAAGAAAAATTTAAACCAGCAACATGATAATTTCAGGACAAACTCCTAACACTGTTGTCACCACTGGTCTCTCTAAACACATGAAGTGAAACGGAATAAATTCATCTGAGTAACAGAACAACAGATCATTGTTTCTGGTTATAGACCAGAAATGATTTAAAACATGAATCTGAAGATATTCAATAAACGACTCAAAGTCATTATTAAAATATGTCAAACAAAACAAGTTCAAACAAAAATGTTCTTTGTCAAAAAGTTTGGTTTCTTCTTCTCATTTTCTTCCTAAACCAAAACATCAATATTATCATTAGAACCATTAAAGTTACTATCAGTCCCACAGTGATGATGATGATGATGATGATGATGGTCCTTCCTCGTCTCTCTGGTTCTGCAGTCACAGTTGGTCTCCTTATCTATGTATAGCGAAAGATTATGTTTGGATGAAGATCAGTGGCGGAGCTAGACTTTTTTTCAAGCGGTGGCCAAAGGGTGAGCAAGGCTTTATCAGAGGGGTCCATATACAAATGATGAACGAAAGGAAACAAATATTTTCTCACACACACTCAAATTAAAATGGTTTATTTAACTAAGATTTGCCATGACCAAACAAGACGTTAAACGGCAATATGGAACAGTGAACATGTAAATGTAAACTCAGAGCCCAGAATATGACCAAAAACAAATTCTCAAAAATAAATAAATGAATAACTGGTGCTTCTGGTGTGCAATAGGTTGTGCTGGGTGGGGGCAGTTCAGTGCCATTTCCTTCTGCTTCACTGTCTTCCTCCCCAGAGTCTGACTCTGAATCTATATCACCCTCATCTCTCTCTGAAACTTAATTGGAAATGCATAAACAGACACAATAAAAAATGCAAAAAGCATCATGCTAACCTTTAGAATTAGGCTTATTGGATTTTAATACTTAATAACTCTCTGTCACAGCCTCTAACCTGCTGGTGATCCACTTGGGCCTGGAGTCTCCTGGCTGGATTCTCCAGGTTGGTCACTGCTGCAGGGTTCTGTCTGGTCCTGGTCACTGCTGCAGGGTTCTGTCTGGTCCTGGTCACTGCTGCAGGGTTCTGTCTGGTCCTGGTCACTGCTGCAGGGTTCTGTCTGGTCCTGGTCACTGCTGCAGGGTTCTGTCTGGTCCTGGTCACTGCTGCAGGGTTCTGTCTGGTCCTTGTCACTGCTGCAGGGTTCTGTCTGGTCCTGGTCTTCATTTGGGCTCTACACAAAATAAGACAACCTGGTATTAGACTCCATGACTGTTTGGCAGAGATAACACTATTTTAACTATTATTTAAACTATAGTTTTTAGTTTTCAGTAGCTAGCTAAATAATACTAATTAAAAATACATTAATTAAAATTAATTAATATAACTAGTGAGGTTATAATTCAAAGCTTTCATATGACATACTTACATTTCAGTCATTATAAAACTTAATGGTTTTTCACATATTCTTACCACAGACATTTCCAGCAAGAGCTGGGAGATATAAAACATTACAGGGCAGCATGTCACTAAAACATTATGTTAAAAGAATCTGTCTAAAACACGATCTATCAGCACTAGCATGGCTAATATAATAAACGAGGCACCAAGCAGCGGTACACAATCATTTTTTTTTTCTTTTTAGAAATGTATGACAAGTGCCGCCTCTCATTAGGAAGGTAACAGCGGTTACTGCTGAGCGGTAAATGTTGTAAATACCTGCAGAACTCCTAGACGGTGTAACTCTGGCAAATCTTTGCCGATCTCATAAGTATTATTTTTAAAATGACCATTTCCAGTGGGGTGGCAGTAGGGTGGCAAGGGCTCTGTTGGGGGTGGCAAGTGCCACCCCGGCCACCCCTCTGGCTCCGCCACTGAATGAATGTTGAAAAGTATCAACATCTCAGATGTTTTTCATTCAAACTAAATAAATTCATAAATTTCACTTTAAAAATTGATGACTGTCATAAAATGGAGGAATAAGTAAATAATGTGGGTGAGAGGTTCAGTCTTTCTCATTTCAGAGATAACAAGGACCGGCTTTGATAATCTCTAAACTTAAATGTTTTTAGGAGAATTTAAGTTTTATCAAAATGCAGAGGTTCTTATCCACCCATTAGTGTCTTCATGCATCGTTACTGCAATGCTCTGCTTTCTGGTTACTGAGGAAAAGTTTTATGGATCTGCAGAAGGTTCAAAACGTGGCTGCTTGCATTTTACCAAAACCAGGAAATATGCTCACATTTCTACTTCTGTAATCTTTTCACCGGTTGCTTCAGGTTCAAACAGACTTTAACGTTTTGCTGCTCATTTATAAGACTTAAAGTTTTCTGATCTTCTGCAGCTTTATGTCCTACTGCATGTCCTCCCATCTTAAGACACTGACCTTTTAAAAAGTCCTAAAACCAGAGGAAAAACATCTGGAGAGAATGTTTTTTCCTTTTGTGCCTCATCATCATGTCTGCTTTCAAGACATCAGACAATCATGTTTTTGAATGATTCTAAGTTAAAGTCGCATTTGTTCCCTCTGATTTATGTGTATTAATTTTATACTGTATTTTTAAACTGTTTAATCTGATTTGTTTTGATCTCCTTATTGTTTAACACTTTGAATAATGTTGTCATAATAACTTGTTGTATAAAGTTTGAATTTTTACATATTTAATGTGACAACAACAGTTTAATAGAGTCTCGGACAAACGAACAACTTACAACTAGAAGTTTTTAAAAAATTTAAAAACTACCCAGCAAGTCATAATAAAATATATAAATATTGGGTTATTCATGTAATAAGAACATTAAAAATAAGATTCACTGACAGAAATTAAATTAAAAACCTTTTGAAGGCTCAAGCTGGGGATCAAATCTGTCAACTTTTGCATGAATTAATAAAAACTTTTTAAGACAAATAATTTATCAAAAGGTGAGTAAGAAACTAAACTACAGAAACATCTTTGGACTTGAGATGTTCTTTAACTTACATGATTCTTACATCGTTTATTTTAATCTAAAAAAAGATTATTAAATCTTTGACCTTATATGAACGGCTTCCTTCTGGGTTTAAGACATACAGTTTTTTATATTATTATTATTTACAGTTATAAACATGTAACAGTTTTCATACCAACAAACTTTGAATAGACTTTAGATCAGGTGGAAGATTCACTTTGGTTTTGTTTTCCTTGATCCTGTAAAGGTTTTCCTTCAGCTCCATCGTCTGGGTCGACATTTTCTCTGCGATCTATAAAACACAAAACATTTCATTAACATCATCTGATTAGTTACATTATTATTAAGATGACTTGAATAAAAACAAAATTCTGTCATTTTTAGTTTTTATAAATAAAATGATCATCAATCAGCAAAAAATAAATGAAAGTAAAGCATTAATGTTTTGACTTTTTCTGAAATTATTTGTCTCATTTGTTTCCAGATGTTTGTTGACAAAAATAAAACAATCCAGAAACCAAAGCATATTACAATAAAATGTAAACATGGTCATATTAAACTGAATATTTAATGTATATTCAGATGTCAGATTAAAAGAATATAACTTTAATGAAGGCAGAAGAAATGTCTCTCATTAAGCTCTAATTATAATCTTAAACATGATTTATTAGCTATCAGCTTCTCTGTTGAAGAAAACACAACAAAGAAGAGAAAATCTGAGTTATGTGCAGTAAATAATAGTTTAATTTGTAGCATTTTATGAATGAATGTTGTTGTTTTCTGGCTGTTTCTCTTTAGTGCGTCTGGATCCACAGGTTGGACCCTCTGGTCTAAACCTTCATATCCTGTTCAGGTCAGTGGGAATACTGGTGAGCCATGATGAACCCAGTCAGGTCACCAGTTCATTGCTGCTACATCAATGATCTAATATCTAGTCAGTCACATTCAGTCACTAACAAGGAAGTTCAGCTTCCTGGTTTGATGCTCAGCTGTGATGTTCAGTGACAGCAGCAACACAAACACATTCATACATCTATATGAAGTAACTGCTTAGTTTATCACTGAGCAGGAAAATAAAACAGGAAATAATTAACATAAGTTATTAATCTGGAATTGATCCATTTCCATACCTCCATCATTTCTCTCATGTATTGGTGCTCCAGCGTATATAACTGTTCACAAGAGAAAATAGACAACAGTGAATATTTGTCTTAACACACAATATAAATGAGGCGACAATATTTAATTCTCCTTATCAGTTTTTGACTGGTAGAAATAATTAATCAACCTGATCAGGCAGAAAAGCTACAATAAACAACAAAGACCAAAACAGAAAAAATGAAACTAATAATGGTTTAGTTTCTTGTTTCTTTTCTTTTCTGTCAAACATCAATAAATACTAATAAATATGTGAAACTTTTCTTATTCATGTTTATCAAGAGTTTTACTTCTATTCAGCTTCAGATCAGTTTTTTGGAAATGATCAAAAACTATATTTTCTATAAACTGGAAATATGCATGTATGGAGATAATTATGCATGACTTAAAAAGACAAAGACTGACTTACCTTGCGGCGACGTACAACAAAGAATATTATGATGATGATGATGATGAGTGCTGCTAGAACAGCCCAAACAACAAAAGTACCAGCAATAACTCCAGCATCAGGTACTGTGACAAAACAGAAAAACGTGTTTTTAACAATCCGCTTTTGAATATTTTGAATTAGATTTTGCATTTTGTTTTATTAATGAGATCAAAGTTGTGAATCAACAGTCACCTCATCATTCAGGTGTCACAGTTACTGCATCACACACACACACACACACACACACACACACACACACACACACACACACACACACACACACACACACACACACACACACACACACACACACACACACACACACACACACACACAGGTCTTCAGGTTTTATCTGCCCAGCTGAACATCAACATGTTATAACAGGAAAAGTCTGAAGATGAATATTCAACCCAATGAGCCTCAATGGCTGCAGGTAACAAAGAAAGTCTGAAACTGAGTCAGAGGGTCAGTAACCACTGGTTACCTAGTTAAACATATTTACCTCTAGTATCAGTCGAGTCGCCTTCATCTGTTGAATAATTACATTAAGAGTTATAGACATTAATATATTTATCTAGTTTGTCTTAAATGATCTTAATTTTATAAAACTCACCAAGTATTAGAATAAAGTTTCCCTTCCTGACTTGACTTTGCAGTTTGGGAACAAAGCAAATATAATTCCCTTCATCCTCCTTGGTTACTTTGGTCAATTTGAGGGAAATGTTGCCTTTTTTAAACTCATCAGGGAACATGAAGGTTTGGTTATTGTACTTTGGATCTGAAGCTTCATCATCTTTAGTTTGGCTGTGTTGCACATGGATTATTTCATCCTTGAATCTCCATACGATTGTAAATGTGGTCAAATAATATGGAGGCTCCAGATGACATGGCAGAATGACGTCGTCTCCAACCTTTGCATGAACAACCACTGGAACTGGAAGAATAAACAAAGATTTTAATAAATCAACACTAATATTCCTGTTTGTTGTTCAGATAACATTCAAACTTATTCTCCTGTAGGATTTTTACAATTGTGAAACAATGAATCTATCCCATTAATAGAGGTTTTTCAAAAAAGGTTTTGTTTTTATTTTGTTTATAAAAGTAAATCTACTAATTATTTATTTACTTCTGTAAAATTACTGATGTTTAACTCATAAAAATAAAACCAGATATTATACTGGAGAAAATAGTCAGGACTCCCTTTAACAGTCTTTTAGTTGATTTGGTTTTACTTTATTGAAAACTCACCAAACTTGGCAGACGCATCAAACCTTCGAGAAATTTACATATTTTATGATTGTCACAAAAATCCCAACAGAAACGGTGCAAGAGCGCCACCTAATGTTGCTGCTTTCAATATGTTCAGAAACCCATGACTTGGTCAAGAGTCGAGGTGATTTCCAGTAACATTGTGATCTTAATTTATTTTATTCTTTACTGAAGAAATCCAGCTACTTCTAATTGTTATGTCTGTAGAGAAACTGTCTGTCCATGGGGGGAAACTTTGCATCAGTTCAGGACATGAATGAATATCATCAGATTCAGATTATAATAACTGCAGCAGGTCACTAAACCAAACCAGCCTGGACTGGAGGCTCTGATGCACAGCAGGTTTTGATGCCACTACATTTTATTTGTTGGGAAACATTGAATGAAATGTATCATCTGCTGTTTATTGTCTTCCAGCTGAGCATTTGGTTGTGGAGCGATGGGAACCGTTTCGTCTCCTCAGACTGGTTTTCTGGAGAGCCTGATAATCATGGAGGCAACCAGCACTGATTACAGATGAACTATTCAGGTACAGGAAAATATCACAGCAGTTTGTCTTTCAGCTGGTAAGATGATGACTCATGGGGAAAACTAATTCACTGTACATGTGAACTCTATCTGAACTTGAATTGTTTTGATAGCAGTTTCCAAAAACATAATTTTAGTTTTGTCCCAATTAAGTGATAATTTGTTATTGTCAAACCTTTTCTTTAATTTACTGATTTCTATGGAAAGAAGTTGTAAGTTTTCACCAGACTAGAATATTTGTGTCGTCAGCAAATAAAACAAATTTAACACATTAGACACTTTGCTTCTGTTGTTTATATACAAATTAAATAAAACTGGTCTCAGTACTGACCCTTGAGGTTCTCCACACAACAAAGTAGTTCTGGACTGGACTTCAATTTTTGGTTACTCTAACCAGACCTGGTCCAATAGTAACGGGTCCAAACCCCCATAATGCTTCAGTTTTAGCACAAACCATAGATTTAGATGTTAGCATTTGTTTGGGAATATTAAAATTTGATTGTTTTGGGAGTTTGAATAGCAACACTATTAAATTTGATTAAAATATTTCACAATGGAAAAAAAAAAAAGATTTTACATTGTTTAACATTTCAATTTACTTTGTAAAAGTGCATAAATATCTTTATTTTATTGCGGCTAAATCTGATTCTATGGGTTTTATGCTACAGTCTTTGTGTGTCTCACAAAATAGTCAGAAATTATCACTGATTTATTTTAAGCCTGGCCAACTAACCTCTTCCTCCTCTCCCAGATAGTGGAGGAAAAACAGCCACATAAAGTAAAGTGGGCCATTGCTGCGAGTTCCCCTCCCTGTGAGAGACTCGGACCGTGGTGATCATGGCCCTGAGAAGCTCTGGTCGTCGTCCTTTATTTACATTTCTAACATTTATGCACTCAAAGCTCAATCACAGCAGCTTCACTGTGGAGGAGGAGCTGAAGCCAAGAGCAAGGAAAAGGTATGAGCAGCACGTACAAGATAGTGATTGTCAGCACTAAGAGCCTTCTCCTGACTCTGGTTGGTTGAGTTTTATTTGCTTACAGATGAACATAGAAGTGCTGCATGTTTTGCTCTCAGCAGAAAATCCACTGAACCCTTTACTTTCATCATCCTGTGGAAATGTATTGTTACATCAGTCCAGTCCTTTACATGGCCGTACTCAGGATGAATCTAAAGGGGCCAGTGGCCCCATAGACTGGAACTGGCCCAAGTATTGAAGATACTAAATATGTTTCTACTGATGATATAAGCTGGCACAGAAACTGTAGATAATTTATCCCTTGTACCAATTTAACTTTTACCTTCACAGTTTCACTTTAATAATGAAATAAAATTAAGATGTTGCACTTTTGGCTTCAGCAGAATTATGATAGAATCAGTTTTCATCTATTAGATCAGCTGAATTCACAGCTCTATGCTGAGGTCGACCTTCTGACCTCTAGAGCTTGCACTGTAAAAAAGGAACCTCGGGGGTTATCACATTAACAAAAGAATATCATGTACTGTTAACTAAATAATTCCATGTTTGAGCCAAAAACATGATACAATCATGTTGCATAAACAAGATATTCCACAACTTCAACGTTTATAAAATTGAATCATGTTGAGAGAACATGATTCATTATAGTCAGACCGATCCTATGCTGAAGACCACGAGTGAGATCACGGGATATCACGCAAGTTCACGCAAGATTACGGGAAATCACGGGCTATCACGCGAGAATACGCGAGACAATCGGTTTTCTCTCGCAAATGGAATAAAATGTATTCAAGGTGAGATAACGTGATTCAATTACGTCAGCTAGATCTTCCGCCAAAAAAAAAGAACGTCGGGCGTATTACATTAACAAAAGAATATTATGTACCGTTCACACAATAATGTTGGGTTTGAAGCAAAAACGTGATAAAATCATGTTGGATAAACAAGATATTCCACGACTTCACATTTATAAAATTGAATCATGTTGAGCTAACATGATTCATTATAGTTAGACTGATATTGTGCTGACGACAACGAGTGAGATCACGGGATATCACGCGAGAACACGCGAGACAATCGGTTTTTTTCTCTCAACTGGACTAACGTGATTGAATGACGTTATCTCAACTTGAATACATCTAATTAACATCTAATTAACATATATATACCCACCGCGGGTGGTTCTTATCCTCTGAGCTCGGGTCCTCTACCAGAGGCCTGGGAGCTATATATATATATATATATATATATATATATATATATATATATATATATATATATATATATATATATATATATATATATATATATATATATATATATATATATATATATATATGTAATCCTCTCTCTCTCTCTCTCTCTCTCTCTCTATATATATATATATATATATATATATATATATATAATATATATATATATATATATATATAATATATATATATATATATATGTTTGGTTTTTTTTATTCAATATCAATATTTGTCAAAGTTAATCTAATAAAAAAAAACAGTGACGTCAGTTCCAAAGCGCTATTGTGTCAGACTCATCTCCCGCTGAAGAGGATCCAGATCAAGAGATTACGGAAAATCACGCGAGATAACTGGCTTGCACCTTATTGGGTTTTTTCAAGGGCAGAGGGGAGATTCCTGGCGTGCATCCACTTAATTTGAAGAAGGTAAGAGTCAAACTATTTTCATCTAAATCCATATAAAAATATGTAACTTAAAATGTCTCTACATTTGCACCATTTTCTACTTGTTCCATACTTGTGTCACATTATTTCATGTTCTGTAGATTAAGTCGGTTAGGTTAAGGCAGATAGCTATATGTGATATCATTGGTAAGTTTACATTTATCGCCGCACCATGTTAGGTACATTCTGTGCGAAAAAAGTCTGCAGAGCCATATGTAGTGTACAAAGCTGCTGCCAGAGACACAAATGGACCCCGGAAATGTCACAGTTTTGCTCCTCCTGAGCTCCCTGGAGGTTTAGTAGATTTTAACACACTGATCTAACATCAGTCTATTTCTAACTATTTTAATTCTATTTCAGTAATGTTACTATGGAGGTAAATGTAGATACACACACTTTGGTACCTTTCTATAATCATCGAGATTCTTAATTAATTATGGTAATAAAAAGTCCTACATTTCAGTCGGTGAAACCTGCAGAAAGCATTGCTTTCTGAGCTTTGTTAAATGTTCCTAAAATACCTGTTAGTTATGGATTTCTAGTATATTTTGTCAGGCTAAAACTCTCAATGGATTATCCATTATTACAGACTTGAGCTTTCTATTTTTTTTCTTTAAAATACATATTCCTCTGCTGTAAAGATGTTGGGGTTTTTTTGGACTCTTCTTTGTTGTCCCCAAATAATTGTAGCTCAGAAACAATATTGAAGTTCATTGGTTTAATTTTGAAATGTTGATGTTTTTTGTGTTGATTGTTTGTGCTCATTTTGACCTTTGTTACTATTGCTTTCTACCATGTTCAATTCACCACTGTTCTGCACATATGTGCTTGCATGTGTCCTGTGGTTTTATTCATGAGGCATTCAAGGGACTTGTACTAAAAGATACAACTCAGTTCAGTATGAATTGCATATTTTAATGGCTGAAAATATATCTGATCTCTTTCAGAACATCACCTGATCACCTGTCTGTAATCCACCTGCTTAAGTTCTGGTCAAGGGGCTCATCGGCTATCAAGTTATAGATTTCAGTGGCTAATAGTAAGTTTTGCCAGATCTAAAGTGACTGAATGTAGTGTTAGAGAGCTTATAAAGCTAGGGTTCAGCTAAACATTTATTTGGCCAGTCTGTTTTATTTGTCTTTATTTGCGTGGGGATGTGGAAATGTAAGGAGTGTAGTCTCTCTCTGTCTCGTAGATATGACCTGTTAAAACATTTTACACTTAAACACCGGTGGTTCCTGTTCAGAAACAGGAACCACCTTGTCTTTGTGGTAGTTGTTCCAACTGGGTGTGGCGTTAAAGACCTGACTGACTGACTGACTCCCCCAAAGCTCAAATTACAATCAGTTTCTTCACAGCAGATCTACAGAATATAAACTGAAATCCTAGGCTCCAAAATAATTGAATATATCCATTAAACACAGTTATAACTCATTGAATGGGATTAAATGTGTGTTCAGACATTAAATAAATGTTTTCTCAGCAACAACTGAGTTCATAGTTACTATTTATTACATTGTAGAAATAAATAAAAGCACAAACAATTTAATTTTGTTAAATAATTTTTGTCACTAATTCCAGAAAGAAACTAACATACATTATATAGATTCACACAAAGAAATTTTATCATTGTAGAATATATTGTAAAATATTAGAAAATCCTGCTGTGACACTAATCAGTGAATTTTCTCTAAACAGCTGCAAAGGTTTCCTGAGTCTCTAAGTTTCTCAGTCTGAGATCATTTAGAAGATTTGCTGACTGAACAGAAAACATGTTGACATGTTTACTTATATTGAACACTTGTCTCCATGTAAGTGTAACTGGATCTTTTCTGCATTGTGCTGGTTTGAAGTGATCAGGCTGTGACACAGTTTGTCTTTAAAAGGATGGCTGCTTGATTTATTCTGACAAGAACATAAAACAACCGTGATAGAGGCTGTTGCTCCAAGTCCTACACAAAACAAGAGCACAAAACAGAAATCAACGTAATAAATCTATCAATAAACTGGATGCATTTAGATAGAAAATAAATAGATAGTAAATAAACAGGACAACAAGACAAAAGGGGAGGGCCAAAGGAACGCAAACATTTTAAGAACAATACCACAGAAGAAGAAATAAAGAGGAGGGGCTTCTGCTCTAAAAGTAACACGGTTAAAACAATGACAGAGATTTTCAATCAGAGAACAATCCAAATAACCAAAAAAAAAAAAAGACTAATTATAACGAAAGAGAAATATAACCAGGTTACATTGCAAGGAAGAAAGAAAAGTTACAGTGTAAGAAGCTGGTTGTTCCGAGTGTTTATCAAAAGTTTAGTGGAAGGAAAAGCTGTGCTAAATCACATTGCAGCAGGGATAACTGCAGCCTTGTTAAAAAGCCACTCAGAAGGAGTGGATTCAGAGCAACTCAGTTCATTCCTTCATAAGAGTTGGATTCACTCAGATGAATCCTAGTTAAAGCATTTTATCCAGACTGAGGAGAAGTCCTTTTTTCAGATTAAAGTAAAGTTTATATTTAATTCATGTATCAAGTCCTTAAGTCTCCAGAGTGAAACTATTTAGAAATTAACAGATTTCTCAGAAATTTAATATCTCTGTTTAGCATAAATTGATCTTATGTAATTTTCTAATTGACTGTAAATTATAATTAATGTTGCAAGAAGAATTACAGAATAAAACTCTGTGATGAATCTATATAAAATGTATCTAACAGTGAAATTAACAAGCGATGCAATAATTGTATATTGTTTGTCATTGACTTTATATGCTTTTCATTATTCAGCAGGAAAAAAAACAGTAAAGCTCACTCACTGATGTTTCATGATTATAAGAAACTGATTTCACTCAGAAAGTTTTATAATTAAAGATTCAGCAGCTGCAGAGAATGAAAACAATCCTGTTGACTGAGAGTTGCTGTATGAGTTTATAACCACAAGGTGGCAGTAATGATCTCTTTCTAAACAACCTTTATTAGACCTGAACCATAGACCCAGTTGTTCCTTGTACTGATGTTCTGCTGCCTCTCCTCCTCTTCCTCTCTCAGGATGAAGATGATGTCCAGCATCCTGCTGCCTCATCCTCAGCTCATGTCTCTGTGGTCAGTCTCCATCTTGTCTTTGTGACAGAAAGCTCTCTAGATGGAGCTGAAAGACTCCCATGTTCCAGTTCTCAGTGTGTCTGCTCCTCTCTTTCCCTCTCTGTCTCCTCAGCAGCAACATTTGTAGTGAATGTGACACAGAGCAGCTATCAGGCAGAGGAGAAGCAGAACATCACTCTGGAGTGGACCTTCACCACCAAGACTCAGGGAACCTGGAAGAATCTGTTCATCTTCTGCAGCTTGTTGGCTCCTGATAAAGAACTAGTTCTCTATCAGGTCCATGATGGAGTTGAGATTCCAGAGTCTCAGGATGATCAGTTTTCAGGACGAGTCCAGAGCAACAAAGACGTCCTCAGAGAAGGACGAATAAGACTCCATGTGTCCAGACTGAGGACTGAAGACTCTGGTCTGTATCTGTGTGACGTGAAAACTGAAGATGGAACCAACAATGCAGAATGCCGACTCAGCGTTACTGGTGAGTTATTTGGGGTTTATTTTACTTTATTTTAACATTTTATGTCTTTATTGAGCATAAATGAAACTATTAGTGAAATGTTTTAGCTTCTCTTTATTAAAGCTCATGTTTGATCACGTCTCTACACTGAAAAAAATAAGTCATTGGATGAACATAAAAAAATTATGGAAAGGATTTCCACCTGATTACTTTGCTTTATTTCAGCACCATGTACTTGTGTTACTCCTATTTAAAGCAAATGTGTTAGGTCAACCTAATTTATTAAGATTATTCCAATGTAAAGCAAATGTGTTGGCTCAACTTGTCACAATGGTGATTCAATGGGTGATTCTAAATCAAACATGTTGGCTCAACGTATTATATTGTGGTTATTCTTATATAAATTAAATGAGTTGGCAAAACATAATTCATTAAGGTTGTTCTAATTTAAACCAAATATGTTGGCTTAACCAGAATTATGGTAAGGCAATGGATGATTGTAAATCAAATGAGTTGGCTCTACTCCATTCATTAAGGTTATTCAAATTCAAATGAAATGTGTTGACTCAACATATGTTTTAAAGGTTCCTTTAATTCAGTTACTATAGCGTGACCCAGTGTAATGCAATACAGCCAGCCCAACTAATCTGCAATGTTTAGGACCAAATCATTGATGTAACTTCATTAAGATGAATGTAAATCTAGTTGAAACCACCTTATTTTACAGTGGTACCTTCACACTACCTGATTCAGTAGGTCCAACTCACTAAAAGTAAGTTAGCTCAACAAATATGCTTCATGCTAAAAGACAGCTCGTTAATCGTGTGGAAATCCTTTCCATTATTTCATAACGTTAATTCAAAGACATATTTTCAAGCGTTAATCAAGCATTTTAAGATAGCACTAGGTGAAAGTGTAGGAAGAACACTCAACAATTAGAAAAGGTACAACACAAATTGTATTTCAGAATTGTTATACATCGTTTTTTACACAGCACAAAACACAGCTGAGTTGGACATTGAAATAAAAAAACAACTACAAAAAGGTTACAGTTTCATTTCCCAGCCAATTCTTTACAACATAAAACATGTCAGTATAGTTGCTCAACTTAGAGAACTGTAACAATATAAATCTTTTCTACTGCAGACTTTAAACACTCATTTTCCATATGAAACTTTACTCAACTTAGCAGCGAGTTTCATATTGAGAACTTGTGCTTTCTTTGATAAGTTCTTTCCATCCAATTTCATTATTATTTTCTGTATTACTTCAAAGGTATGCTTGAGTTACTGAGCAAGTTGAGTGCTGAACGCACTAAACTTGAGGGTAGCTCAAGTTTAGTGCGTAGATTAGTCCCAGCAGCATCACTATTGCAGAAGATACACTGCCCAAGCTGTTCATAACTTCCACCCCCTCCAGGACAATCCCAACATCCAGATGTGCATCGGCAGCCTCTGCTCAAATGACGATTCCGAGGACAGTCTCGGCTTTGGCCATTTCATCATCAACGTCCTAAGGGAGTTAGGGAAGGGTATTGGGGGGAGACAATTCACATGTAATTAAATAAATAAATTAGACTGACATTGATTGAGCCACTCATGGACCTTAGTTGGTGAAAGTATTTTAACAACTCTTAGGAGTTCTATTGTCAACACAAAGAGAATTTAACATACCATGTACTCCCTCACCAGCTTCTTTGGATCTTCATTTAGGTACACACAGACATTTGAGGATGCACTCTCGTCTGACCTCAGCAGTGTCTTCCTAAATATGCAGATCAAAAAACAATGAGAACAATCTCAAAACTCCAGCAGTATAGGTTCACACACTTGAAAACATAGCTGCATTCAAAGGAAGTCACAACAAAAGTGATCAGTGGCTTGCAGTCTGTTTGAAAGATATTTAAAATTGTTAGTATCCCTTCATTATGCCATGACTAAAATGGAGTTTAACATTTTATTTAAACATCTAACTGAAGCTGTTAGATGTTTAAATAAAGACATGAATATATTACCAAAGAAATATGTGAAAAGTACAGAATGGTCAACACAGTCTATATCCTTCTACTGCAAAGCAAAGCATTCCATGTCTTACAAGTACATGGACAGTCTATGTGTGGGCATGGATAACGTCGCATATGCCGGTGTTTAAGTGTAAAATGTTTTAACAGGTCATATCTACGAGACAGAGAGAGACTACACTCCTTACATTTCCACATCCCCACGCAAATAAAGACAAATAAAACAGACTGGCCAAATAAATGTTTAGCTGAACCCTAGCTTTATAAGCTCTCTAACACTACATTCAGTCACTTTAGATCTGGCAAAACTTACTATTAGCCACTGAAATCTATAACTTGATAGCCGATGAGCCCCTTGACCAGAACTTAAGCAGGTGGATTACAGACAGGTGATCAGGTGATGTTCTGAAAGAGATCAGATATTTTCAGCCATTAAAATATGCAATTCATACTGAACTGAGTTGTATCTTTTAGTACAAGTCCCTTGAATGCCTCATGAATAAAACCACAGGACACATGCAAGCACATATGTGCAGAACAGTGGTGAATTGAACATGGTAGAAAGCAATAGTAACATAGGTCAAAATGAGCACAAACAATCAACACAAAAAACATCAACATTTCAAAATTAAACCAATGAACTTCAATATTGTTTCTGAGCTACAATTATTTGGGGACAACAAAGAAGAGTCCAAAAAAAACCCAACATCTTTACAGCAGAGGAATATGTATTTTAAAGAAAAAAAATAGAAAGCTCAAGTCTGTAATAATGGATAATCCATTGAGAGTTTTAGCCTGACAAAATATACTAGAAATCCATAACTAACAGGTATTTTAGGAACATTTAACAAAGCTCAGAAAGCAATGCTTTCTGCAGGTTTCACCGACTGAAATGTAGGACTTTTTATTACCATAATTAATTAAGAATCTCGATGATTATAGAAAGGTACCAAAGTGTGTGTATCTACATTTACCTCCATAGTAACATTACTGAAATAGAATTAAAATAGTTAGAAATAGACTGATGTTAGATCCGTGTGTTAAAAATCCACTAAACCTCCAGGGAGCTCAGGAGGAGCAAAACTGTGACATTTCTGGGGTCCATTTGTGTCTCTGGCAGCAGCTTTGTACACTACATATGGCTCTGCAGACTTTTTTCGCACAGAATGTACCTAACATGGTGCGGCGATAAATGTAAACTTACCAATGATATCACATATAGCTATCTGCCTTAACCTAACCGACTTAATCTACAGAACATGAAATAATGTGACACAAGTATGGAACAAGTAGAAAATGGTGCAAATGTAGAGACATTTTAAGTTACATATTTTTATATGGATTTAGATGAAAATAGTTTGACTCTTACCTTCTTCAAATTAAGTGGATGCACGCCAGGAATCTCCCCTCTGCCCTTGAAAAAACCCAATAAGGTGCAAGCCAGTTATCTCGCGTGATTTTCCGTAATCTCTTGATCTGGATCCTCTTCAGCGGGAGATGAGTCTGACACAATAGCGCTTTGGAACTGACGTCACTGTGTTTTTTTTATTAGATTAACTTTGACAAATATTGATATTGAATAAAAAAAAACCAAAAACATATATATATATATATACATATATATATATATATATATATATATATATATATATATATATATATATATATATATATATATATATATATATATATATATATATATATATATATATATATAGAGAGAGAGAGAGAGAGAGAGAGAGAGAGAGAGAGGATTACATATATATATATATATATATATATATATATATATATATATATAGATCCCAGGCCTCTGGTAGAGGACCCGAGCTCAGAGGATAAGAACCACCCGCGGTGGGTATATATATGTTAATTAGATGTTAATTAGATGTATTCAAGTTGAGATAACGTCATTCAATCACGTTAGTCCAGTTGAGAGAAAAAAAACGATTGTCTCGCGTGTTCTCGCGTGATATCCCGTGATCTCACTCGTTGTCGTCAGCACAATATCAGTCTGACTATAATGAATCATGTTAGCTCAACATGATTCAATTTTATAAATGTGAAGTCGTGGAATATCTTGTTTATCCAACATGATTTTATCACGTTTTCACTTCAAACCCAACATTATTGTGTGAATGGTACATAATATTCTTTTGTTAATGTAATACGCCCCGACGTTCTTTTTTTTGGCGGAAGATCTAGCTGACGTAATTGAATCACGTTATCTCACCTTGAATACATTTTATTCCATTTGCGAGAGAAAACCGATTGTCTCGCGTATTCTCGCGTGATAGCCCGTGATTTCCCGTAATCTTGCGTGAACTTGCGTGATATCCCGTGATCTCACTCGTGGTCTTCAGCATAGGATCGGTCTGACTATAATGAATCATGTTCTCTCAACATGATTCAATTTTATAAACGTTGAAGTTGTGGAATATCTTGTTTATGCAACATGATTGTATCATGTTTTTGGCTCAAACATGGAATTATTTAGTTAACAGTACATGATATTCTTTTGTTAATGTGATAACCCCCGAGGTTCTTTTTTTACAGTGTAAGCTCTAGAGGTCAGAAGGTCGACCTCAGCATAGAGTGATGATTCTAGACCAAATCCACCTGGGAATTCAGCTGATCTAATAGATGAAAACTGATTCTATCATAATTCTGCTGAAGCCAAAAGTGCAACATCTTAATTTTATTTCATTATTAAAGTGAAACTGTGAAGGTAAAAGTTAAATTGGTACAAGGGATAAATTATCTACAGTTTCTGTGCCAGCTTATATCATCAGTAGAAACATATTTAGTATCTTCAATACTTGGGCCAGTTCCAGTCTATGGGGCCACTGGCCCCTTTAGATTCATCCTGAGTACGGCCATGTAAAGGACTGGACTGATGTAACAATACATTTCCACAGGATGATGAAAGTAAAGGGTTCAGTGGATTTTCTGCTGAGAGCAAAACATTCAGCACTTCTATGTTCATCTGTAAGCA